CTTTGTTGTTGTTTTCTCTTCCTTTTTTTTTATTATTAACATATGATGTATTATTTGTTTCAGGGGTACAGGTCTGTGATTCATCAGTCTTTTTTTTTTTTTTTTACTTAGTTATCTTTTTTTAATTTAATTTTATTATGTTATGTTAATCACCATACATTACATCATTAGTTTTTGATATGGTGTTCCATGATTTATTGTTTGCGTATAACATCCAGTGCTCCATTCAATACCTGCCCTCTTTAATACCCATCACCAGGCTAACCCATTCCCCCACCCCCCTCCCCTCTTGAACCCTCAGTTTGTTTCTCAGAGTCCATAGTCTCTCATGGTTCATCTCCCCCTCTGATTCCCCCCCCTTCATTGTTCCCTTCCTAATACCTTCTCTCTCTCTCATTTTTTTAACATATAATGTATTATTTGTTACAGAGGTACAGGTCTGTGATTCAAAAGTCTTACACAATTCACAGCACTCACCATAGCACATACCCTCCCAGTGTCCATCACCCAGCTACCTCATCCCCCCACCCCCCTCCCCTCCAGCAACCCTCAGTTTGTTTCCTGAGATTAAGAGTCTCTTATGGTTTGTCTCCCTCTCTGGTTTCGTCGTTTCATATTTTCCTCTCTGCCTACCCGAGACACAGAATCAGAAGCATTAATCTACCAGTCCCAGCCAAGAATTGGTCAAGGGTTGCACCATGCATGTTTACTCCCCCGACTTCTAAGTTTGGTAGGTATCAGGATGGCTAACAGGCATCTTACACATTGGCACCAGAGAAGCCTGGGACTGGACAGAGGGAAGGTATGTGATGCAGATGAAATGAGATGTCCGGTTACATCCACAATGACTGGAGTAAAATGGTGGGCCATGAGAATGTGAGGTGGGATACAAAATGTGTATGATTCTTACCTCCTGTTTTTTTAGGTTATTAAAACTAATAAGGACACTATCTTAGATTGGAATTAAAAGTTAAAAACATAAATAAATGAGAATTTATCAGAAGAAAATGTACTTCACAATTTACTAAATTACTTCCATTGGGACTGCTGCCTATAGCAAAAAATCAAACGGGGTAACATAAGAAAAGTTGTACTCTTCAAATAACTGTGTGCATGCATGCTAGAGTATAAACATCAATGTGTGTTTTTTAACATACAAAATTATCATCTCTAGTCTCTCTTATTATTATTTCCTCCCTGCTTTATAGGCATAAATTTTAATGTAATTCTTGTTTGTAATCTTTTTTAATCTTTGGGGGTTTTTTTTAGTTGCAATAGTCTAAGGACTTCAAAAGCTGAAGGGTTTTCGGCAATCCAAATTTATTAACTATTTCAACTAAAGATGTTCAGTTTATCTTGAAAAAAATGTAAACAATTTTTGGAAAAATCATTTACAAAATATGCAGTACTGTTGTAGGACATTTATATGGATTTACAGAGTAGTGAAATAAATTCAGGACATTTTTTTTTTTCTTTTTAAGAACTTTATTTTCTTAGAGAGAGCACACACGAGGGAGGGGAGGGGCAGACGGAGAGAGAGAAAGAATCTCAAGCAGATTCCACGCAGATCACAGACCCCCACGGAGGAGGACCCTAAGATCATCACCTGAGCAGAAATCAAGAGTCAGACACTCAACCGACTGAGCCGCCCAGGTGCCCCAAGTTCAGGACATTTCTAAAAGTTTGATTGCTGCAGGGAAGCAACAAGAAAAACATGTACTGCTATGATGAGGTTTTCCCCTTTTATTCTGTTTTACATTGATTCAACATAGGCTTGGTCACAAAAAAAGAAATTCAATTCAGTTATATATAAAAAATATTTGTAAATTCTGAACTTAGTATGAACTAAGCAAATTCTGAACTCTTAGTATGAAGTAAGGATTTTATAGCCATTCAAGTCTTCCTTCAAGTTTCAGGTCTCTAGAAGAAGCTGTTTTAAACATGTAAAAGATTAGGGAATATTGTTTTCATAAATGATTGCTATCAACTCTACTAGAAAATAAGCTTCATCTGACAAGAATGCCAGGAAACTTAAGCTGAAAGACTAGTAGTAACCAGTGAAAATATTTCTTAATATATTTAAGTAAATACATTTAGATAGATTTGAAGTATACATTTATATATTAACATATATATTAATAATAAATACATTTATATAATAAATAATAAAGCTAGGATTCAGGGTGGAAGACTCTTATGCAAATGCTACATTTTCTAACAAAGTAGAAAAAAACAAAATGAGAGGAGAAGAAAGAGTAGTAATCTCATTGATTGCCCTATAGGAAAAAACTGAAAGTCAAAATCAATTAAATCTGACAGAGTAGGAAAGCCTAAGAAAAAAGCAAGAGGTAATTAGGTATTAGTATACAGGGAAAAAATTGAACAAAAACACAAATATTCCTAAATACCAAAAAAAGAGAAAATTAAAGAAAACAAAATTTGTTGATGAATATGTCTGTTGCAATACCCTATTCAAGTTTGTCCTTGTGGGTTTATATATTATTTAATTTTAGTTGTTTATTCCACAATTTTAGTGGGATCTGAAAAGGGAGATAAATGTATATGTTCAATATTACATGACTAATCAAAATAACTAATATCACTTTTTAAGCCCTGAGATTGGACTTCCTACTGTAGATGGATAGCCAGGTCAAGGATATAATGGAAGCCCAGAGATTTCCTGAAATGATTATTAGCTACTACATTGCAGAGCTAGAATCTGAATCCTGGTTTGAGTCCAAAGCTCCACATTTAACTATTCTATACCATTGTTTTCATAACATGGGAAAAATCTGAAGATTCTGTGTAACAGTATGTGTGTGTTGGGGAGGGGGAATGGGACCTGGATTTAAAGGCTATATAAATTGTGCAATGTTACCACCACAGAATTTCTCAGTTTGTGGTAGTCAGCACTGGAATGTGGGGATGGAGTAGAAGTGTGGCTAGGAATGGAGTGTAATGTATTGTCTCTGTTTTCTTAATAAGAATGATTTAGGAGTGCCCTGTTGGCTCAGTCAAGCGCCTACCTTCAGCTCAGCTCATGATCCTGGGGTCCTGGGATCAGCACCGCATTGGACGCCCTGCTCCGCGGGAAGCCTGCTTCTCCCTCTCCTCCCTGCTCCTGCTCTGTCTCTATCTCTGTCTCTCTCTCAGATAAATAAATAAATCTTAAAAAAAAAGAATGATCTAATTTTGTAGTTTATTAAAATACCCAAAAGAGGAACATAAACTTCCATATACATTACGACTCCAATTCTTTGGGGCTTTTTTGTTGCTGTTTTTTTGTTTTGTTTAACATTCATACCAATAAATAATGCCCACGGGGGAGAAAAAACCCTGGAAATAAATTTATCCAAGAGTTATTTTAGTGATTCAGTACTTATAGCTGGGTGGTAGAATTATTTTGTTCTTAATATATTTCTGCATTTTCAAATTATCTCCAAAAGTATTTATTAATTTGATTATAAAATGCTGTAGCTGGAAAAAATGACAAACATTAAAAGCATTTGAAAGAGTTTACTAATAATCCTGGTAATGCTGCAGTGATAGTAGGACATTCAGACCATGAATTTAACCACAACCTAAACTTTCTAAACGTCTTCATCAATCCATTTCTAATTGTGTAAAATTAATTTCCATGGTCTGTTCCTCCAATCCATGGCTGGTGAAACTGAAAATTGGTACCACCTACTGGAAACAACTGGCTATATTTATCCTTAAAATCTTAAATTTATTTTAAAAGACTACGCCCTTTACTCCAGTACTGCCATTTATCAAAACTTATCCAGGAGGTAAATCTAAAACAAGAAAAACAACGTACAATAAGTTGACGATTGAAGCTTATGTATAATAAAGTTGATGAGATTAAAGGAAGAATGGTCATAGTGCTAATTTATTCAACAGAATATTACTTCATTTATGATTATGAAACAAAAATAATCAGGTTAGGTTAAGCGAAGAATAATATATTGCATATATCCATGTTGAGATTACTACATAAAACGGTAATACTTCTAGGTATAAAAAGAGGAAGGGAATACGGAAAAATGACAAGTCTTTTTTATTGGGGTGGGAAGATTTTGAGACCCTCTCTCACTGACAGACTTGGTATCACTAGAAACATTGTATAGCTTTTTACTTTAAGTACTGATAATTACTATTTTAAGACTGTCACTATACCTGCTATTAAGAAGTGTTTGCTTTTATTTCAAATGTCCCGAGTTTGGGAAATACACAAGTTGCAGCTGGTATCCTTAGCGTGTGCTCGTCAGTGTATTACCACGCTGTTTATAATGCACTCGATGAAATGTGATTAGCGCTTCCAGGACTGAAGAATTAAGTACCGGCAAACCGATCAAACGGAGGCTATCATGAAACAGCACCAACTTACCCTCGGGTCTTAGAGCAACAGAGGCCATTTCTAGCACTGTATTTCATCAATATTAAGGATACCTTGATTTTAAGTGCTTTGTATTTTCAAAGTGCTTTGGCCTCAATCATTCAGTTATCACAATTGCTCCCGATGCCTACATTTCTCCAGCGCTCCAGAGATCAGGACCAACGGAGGCATAGCCACCCAGGGAGATTTCGTCCCGTCCCTCAGCTCTAGCGAGTGACCAAGTTCTAGGCAGAGGATTCGCAAATATTGTGCGGTTCTGCACCTCCCCTCGAGCAGCTAAGAGGCGAACTAACAATGCCGTGTTTATAGTGAAGTCTCAAAAGCAAGGCGAAGGCTGCAGTGCTGGGGCCCAGCCGGCAGGGCGGCCGCTGGGCTGCAAGAGCTACCCAGTGACGAATTCTGGACAGAGCACGTCAGTCCCTCGGATATGCCATGGCTTTCTGCTTTTAGGGTCTCTCCTCTTCAAATATCCCGCGCCACCGCCAGGCCTTGCCGCCAGCCTCAGGAGCCCGACCCACAGCTGCCTCCCTGCCGCCGGGCCTCCTGCCGCTCCCTCCGCCTCTTCCCATCTGCTCTGCGCCTGCGCGACCGGAAAATTCGCGAAGGTTCCTGAGGCTGAACCGGCCGTTTCCGGAAGCCGGCAGCCGCCTCAGCCAGCAGACCGGTGGTTGCGGAACTGGGGTTGTACGCGCAGCCTCTAGCTCTTCACTGGCTTTGGACCCGACCTTTACCGGTGCGGAAAGAAAATGGCCTTGCTGTGCTACAACCGGGGCTGCGGGCAGCGCTTCGATCCCGAGACCAACTCCGACGGTAAGAAAAACGCGCCGCCAGCCCTTCCTCCCCTTTCCACCTCAGCCGGGGGACGCCCTTGGGCCCAAGGGCGTCCCGGGGTCCGCCCGCGAGCCGTCACCGCGCTGCCCCGGTCTGGGTCCCTCCGGGCCGCCCGAGCGCTCGGCACAGGCGTCCGACCCTCGCGCCGCAGCCGCGCAGCCCGACGGACCCACGCTCCGGTCCCACGTGTCTCCCGCCGCCCGCTCACTCGGCGATTCGCCTGGAATTTAGAACCTCTTTCTCCCTTCCCTGCCCCCCTCCGCTCCGTCCCTTTGCGGGAGCAAAAGTTAGCCGGGTGCTGCAGGGCTCGCTTAGCGGCGGGTGTGCGCGTGTCTGTGAGTGAGGGGGACGAAGAGGGATGGGAGGGTTGGGCAGCGGGCGAGTTATTTGGGCGTTTAAGTTCGGCTCGTCGAATTAGAAGAGAAGTTTATTTTTCTGGAAGTCTTGTTTTTCGCGTGTTCAGTCCCCCAACTGTTAGAAAGTTACTTTTTTTTTTTAAGTGTCCTGGGTTAGGAAAATTACTCTGTGTCTTTACACTAAGTTCTGATGTTATCTGGCGGGATGGATGGTGCATTTGTTACCCTTGTCTTACTTAGTAACGTTATTTGTTGCGTAGCTTTGCTGTGGTCCTCCCGTTTTTACAACGTGCCATGTTCAGGATAAAGTCATTGTTCCTACGTGTACAGTTAGGATGTAAAGTGAAAGTGACTAGACTAGGTGAACAGTCAGTTTGAATTCTGAATGGTGAATGGGGTAGAGGGAGTTGGTTTCTTGACTATTGTGGGAAATGACACCACTTTGTCAAATTCAGCTAGCAATTACTGAGTTTTCTATACGCCAGACATTGATCTATCACTTACTACATCATCTATTTAATCTTCACAACACCTCTGTGAAGTAGGTATTATTAGACGTCGTTTATAGAGAAGCCGGGTTCAACATGGTAGCGGCATGTTCCTGCATTGTGAAGGAAATTAAAATTTGTGCCTTTTAAAATCTTTTCCACCCCTGAGTTGTCTGAAGTACTTACTTAGTGCGCAGGTATTGAATTGGTGACATAATTTAAAATGATAAGACTTGGCAGGATTCAATGGATAAAGTAGAATCCAGTCTTTCAGTCTTTGTACAATATTCATGTTTCTGTCCTTGACATTTTTATGATAATACGAAGTTACTCAGAGAGAAAATTGTGATGTCAGTGGATGACAGAATCGAAGAAAAGAGGTTTTAAAGCCTTTGCTTTTGGTAACCTATGCAAAAAGTAAATTGCCTTAGTGTCTGCTATATTTTACTTTAATATTAAATAAAGGGGAAGACTGAGGCTTTGTTGCCTACGACAGTTAATGCCCCAAAGTAAATATGTTTGTTTATAGAATGTTCTGTACCAGCCTGAAATTATGAGGGAGATACAGCCAGTTTCTGGAAGTCAGCAGCGAGTGTGTGTGTGTGTGTGTGTGTGTGTGTGAGTGAGATGGTATAATGCCTAGGAAAGAGATGGGAGTGGGGGGAGTGGGAAAGTGAGAGGAGTAGACATTCAAGGATTGTGTTATCAGTACTAAATTCAGGAGGGAGCTTCAATAAGGTGGTAGAAAGTTTAGTTGTTTTAGCAAAATGGGGGTTAGAGACTTAACTCCAAGTAAGTTGTTTCAATGGTAAGTTAAGAAAATGGAGATAGGAAGTAGAAAATAAGGGCTAATAGTAAACTGTGAACTTGGTTAGGAGAAAGTTTTTTGGAATGGGAGAGGTTTGACCTTTGTATGGACAAAAATAAGCCTTCCTTCTAAGCTGATACCAGGTTTTAGTTTGAAACACAAGCTAACAATGTTTATGGAAGACACAGTTGGTATCTTTCACATATTAAATAGTTATTCTGGAAAAAACACTTCTTCAGTTTTTTATTTAATCCATGTGTGTGTGTGTGTATGTATATATATACATGTATATATATAGTATATAGAAACTGAATCAGTTACTAAGAGGCAGAGCCAGAATTTGAGCCAGGGTCACACCCAGTATGACAAGCCCTTGGCTCTTAACTGCTACAGTGTTACCCATAAAATACAACTTTGAGCTAAACTGGTAAACCTGAAAAAGGCTAGAGAGGAAAATAACCATCTGCTTGTTATTTACATTTGAAAGCAGTGATTTTCAGATTTTGTTGCTACTAGTTGTAGGGTTAAGACCTGACTCATTCCTACCGCCATTCTGCCCAAACTGACCATTATGATGATTATGCCTCTTAGTGTGTTATGCTTTATGTATTTTATGCCTCTGACTATGTGTAAGTTTGATGTTTGAAAATACTCTATTTGTTCTCTTTTTAATTCTGTTCTCAACTTCATAGCCCTCTGCATATTCATTTCTACTTTGAATCTCCTTTTTCAGCCCTTAATTCCATTACTTCCCTGAATTAATAGGTTCTTCTTATTCCATGGGTTTACTAACTGTACCATGAAAATACCCGACACTTTCTTGCTCTATTAGCCTAACATAGTATCTGTGTAACACCTGGTTGCTAAGGAAACCATACTAGCTATTAATATGGGGTAGGAAGATTTCTGTAAGAACCAGGAATTAATCATTTTAAGGCAACACCAAGAATCAGAGGTTGTGGCCAATTAAAAGCTAAACAGACAATAAAAGGTGGGGCAAAGTAGCCTTATAAGAAAATTGCACAGATGTGGAGCCGACCAGTTTTTTTTCTAAGCTCATGGTTGTGTCTAGTCAGAAAATAATTTTTTATTATCTGATTTTTTAAAATGTAATACTTCATATTTCAAACTGTATTAAGCTCATTTTCATAAGAGTTAGTGAAAATTGATGGTGTAATGGGGAGTGGCAGAGAAATACAGAGTAACAATCAGTGGCAACCCTGAAAATAGACTGTAGAACTTAAACATCTATTTAATGAGGTTTGTATCTAGCTATTGACACCTGTCTAGGAAAGTTAAATTAGCAATTAGATATTGACATCAGTTTTTAAAATTTTGAACCTGTCCTTCTAAAAAGTGTTCTTATGTGCATCGATCCACAGATTGCCCAAGAGATTCTCTAAAAAGATATTTTAGAAGTTTGATAGTATTTTTGTAAATAGAATTGGAAGGTGATAAAATCATGGAGCTTGAAGTTTTGGTACTAAACAAGTTTAACTACAAAGATTAAAGGAATAGAATACAATTTGTTATACTTGCAGTATTCTGTATTATTCTTATCTACAGCTATCATACTCTTGAATTAGAATCTTAACTATTGATATTGTAATGCAATACTATATTAAGCACTGTGTGCCATGCATCAGATGCTAGCATTTGTGAGTTTTTAAGGAAAAGCAGAGTATTACCTGCATTTGGAGAAGGGATTAAATGTTAACACCTGAAAAAAATGATTTTTTTCCTTCGTAATAAAGTGTATTTTTTTCCCTTTCTTTGTTTTTGACCAGATGCTTGCACATATCACCCAGGTGTTCCAGTCTTTCATGATGCCTTAAAGGTAAGAACTGGGTATATTTCAGTCTCATCATATTTGTACATAAAATTTAGAGGTGTAATATTGAATCTTTATTTTCTCATCTTTTTTTCTCAGCCTGTGACTTTTTGCTTTCTTAATGACCACTTTGGGGTGCTTTAAGCAAGTACTCCATTAAAGGCAAAGGCAGTAGATGGTGATCTTAAGGTCTTTTTCAGTTATAAAATTATGTTATTTCCATTCCAACTCCCATTTTTTGTACTCTTCATTTCTTTTTAATCTTGAGGGGAATTGAAAGCAGTGTATTGAATCTTAGTTTCTTAATCTATCAGGCAGCTACTGTATAATAAGAGCGGCTCTGAATTTTAGGAAAGATTGTTATAAACAGTAAAGAGTGCCAAACTGTTTGAGACACCACCTGTTTTCCACCTGTACTTCCTTGGTGTTCTGGAGAGTTAGAGAAATAATAAAATGTTGTTTGACCAGGTTTTTCTTGGTGTGTTTATTGATCTTTTACAATTTATGATAATATGGTAACATTTATCTCAAAAGATAATGTGTATCTCTTTTTCTTTTATTATGTTATGTTAGTCACTGTACAGTACATCATTAGTTTTTGATGTAGTGATCCACGATCCATTGTTTTTATATAACACCCAGTGCTCCATGCAGTACGTGCCCTCCTTAATACCCATCCCCGGGCTAACCCATCCCCGAACCCAGTCCCCTCTAGAACCCTCAGTTTGTTTTTCAGAGTCCATCGTCTCTCATGGTTCATCTCCCCCTCCGATTTCCCCCCCTTCATTTTCCCTTCCGTCTCCTAATGTCCTCCATTCTATTCCTTATGTTCCACAAATAAGTGAAACCGTGTGATAATTGACTTTCTCTGCTTGACTTTCACTTAGCATAATCTCTTCCAGCCCCATCCATGTTGATGCAAAACTTGGGTATTCATCCTTTCTGATGGTTGAGTAATATTCCATTGTATATATGGACCACATCTTCTTTATCCATTCGTCTGTTCAAGGGCATCTCAGCTCTTTCCACAGTTTGGCTATTGTGGACATTGCTGCTATGAACACTGGGGTGCATATGGCCCTTCTTTTCACTACATCTGTGTCTTTGGGGTAAATACCCAGTAGTGCAATTGCTGGGTCATAGGGTAGCTCTATTTTTAACTTTTTGAGGAACCTCCACACTGTTTTCCAAAGTGGCTGTACCAACTTGCATTCCCACCAACAGTGTAAGAGGGTTCCCCTTTCTCCACAACTTCTCCAACATTTGTGGTTTCTTGCCTTGTCAATTTTTGCCATTCTATCTGGTGTAAGGTGGTATCTAATTGTGGTTTTGATTTTAATTTCCCTGATGGCTAATGATGATGAACATTTTTTCATGTGTCTGTTAACCATTTGTATGTCTTCTTTGGAGAAGTGTCAGTTCATGTCTTCTGCCCATTTTTCGACTTGATTATTTGTTTAATGTGTATCTCAAAAGAAAATTGCCGTGTGGCTGCCATGGTTTTAGGTGTTGGTACTTTGTTTTTAGGAACATAAGCAGTCTTACATGTTTAAGTATTGTTGATGCCTTATGAATTTCTAATTATACCTTCCAAGGAGTAGTTGTGGACCCTTTTTGGTATTTAACTGTTAGATGGCCAAGTGTTAATAAAGATGTGTAAGCAGATAACAAGTTTGTGTTAGTCTGGTTAGTTCTAAGTGAGGAAAACAGAACAACCATTTGATAGGGCAAGTTGAGAGATGACTCTTCTCACATCTTTTTAGCTGCTTTACAAACTTTTTGGGGGGTGGAAACTGTGGTTCTGTGGGTATATTTACTTTTGCAGAAGAGTGAGGGGATTTTATCTTTCCTGGATTGCCATTTATTCTATGTTTATTTTTCTTACGTATGTTTTTCTTCTTCTTCTCCTATGATATGTTTCTATCTCCTAACCATAGACGTATTTCACCTTTGTCTTTAGCTTCCTATTTTCTCTCATTTAGTTCATGCATTTCTGTCCTTAAACGTCATCTCTGTGCTCGTGGCTTCTGCAGAATATTTCCATTTTATTTGCGACTGCAAACCAGTTTTTAAAGTGAACTCGTACTCCAAAAATAGCCTGCATTTCAACTTTGCTGCTGCTAGTAATGATACCACAAACTTTCTAGTCATTCAGTCCATTGCTTTTTTTTTTTTTTTTTTTAACTACCCAACTGTTAATCACCCTGTTGAATTAATCTTAAGGATTTCACTCTGAAGTATTTTTGTTTCTCTTTTCCAATTCTGTTTATTATTGTCTCTATAAACATTTCTTGAAGACCTGTACTTTTTAAGACTATTGGATTTCACACCACAAATATGTAGACAGACAAAATAGGTAAATCAGTGTAATGTCTACTGTTGCTGGTTTAATTGGCAAATAAGAAGTTAAACATTGCGTATACAAAAGAAAGAACATTTTAATATTCAAATTAGAAGTGGCATAGACAGAGAAGAGAGACAATCCTTCTTAAGAAATGACAACCTTATACTCACATACTTAAATTTATCTTTCATTTTTTAAAAAGATTTTGAGAGAGAGAGAGACCCGCATGCATGCGCACAGGCGGGGGGGTGGGGGGCGGAGGGGCAGAGGGACTCCCCATTGAGCAGGGAGCCTGATGTGGGACTAGATCCCAGGATCCTGGGATCATGACCTGAGCCAAAGGCAGACACTTAACTGACTAAGCCACCTAGGTGCTCTTTCATTTTTTTATTTTACTGAGGACTGCCATAGATCCCAGATTGGCATTTGGGAACAACTAGTATATATCATGTATGTATCCCAGTATCCCCAGAATATCTGCCGTAATTCTTTATATATGATTAAGATGATAAAGCTTTTTCTTGTACAGAATAACTTTTCTGACTGTATTATCAATGCTAACTAAATATTATATTTTAAGGTTATAGTAGGTTTTCATCTATACATCTCAATTCAGAATAAAAGAATTCAGTTTCAAAATAAAGGAAAATTTAAATTATAGCGTATTTAACATTTTCTTTAAAATAATTTTGTAAGAAAGTAGTGTGAAAACAATCACTACCAAATTCTTCATATAGTGTATTGAGAAAAGCAGTGAGGCCCAGATGGATATGTGCAAATCCTAGCCTTTAGTCTAATTTAGGACATTCCAAGTCTTGAAACTGCTGCATTTTTATTTTCTTATTCTTTATACTACATTGAAATTACAGATGACAGCTAAAAGCCATTTTTTGGTAAGCCACTTGATATTTTGTTTAGAAATCACACACAGCATTGCAATTTCTATATTTTTATGCTTGTCGCTAAAAAGATCATTTAACCTTCAAAGATCTAACAGTCCTTAGGCTACTATGCTAATCAATCTATGTTGGTCTGAAAATAGAATGCTTATTGTTGGGGAACACCTATAGTGAGTTCTTTAGAAGCTGAATTATAATTAATGTCTCTGACTTAACTGGATTTTTAAAGTAAAGCACTTCACTTACCCCCCAGATCCTTTAAAATATATGATATTTTTAGAAATTAGAAAATGTTTCTCTTCTAAAAATCAAGTACTAGTCTTGAAAAAATGAGCGATTTTTATTTCCCATTTTAAGGTACTTCCTTTTGTGATCAGTCACAATACAAATCACCTTTAACATTGATTAATTAACTTTTTTTAAATCAAAAACTAAAGATCATTTAATTTGATTTGATGAATCATTTATAACACTTCACAACTGTGAAATCTATATATGTGCAAGTCACTGCCAGATTCAAGGATATATGCAAGTAGACTCTTAGTGGGCTGTGGTTCTATGCAAATTCAATTTTCAATTTTTTTTCTGTTTCATAGGGTTGGTCTTGCTGTAAGAGAAGAACGACCGATTTTTCTGATTTTTTAAGCATTGCAGTAAGTATTAATTTTTTTCCTAGGTTATCTCCTGAGAAAGTACAAATAATGGGAAGCTCCAGATTTGAGGAGTCTGATTTGGGACATCTGTTGAATGGTCTGTTAATTTGCACATAGAGCCTTTCTTTGCAAGTGAAGTTCACCTCTCTTGACAGCCTTTAATATAAGGAATTTATCCGTTTTAGAGATAAAAGTTTCACGATATTAATTAGCCACCTGTCAATACAGGTTTGTCTTTGATATGAGTAGTCTTTAAAGTACATCAAGAAGGAAGTAGTAGGTAGCTATTTAAGGCCTTTATATAGTGAGGAACAATAGATATTTATCAAATCTAAGATACTACCACAATGTACCATTTATTCTGTATACCCTTAAGAAAGAAAACAAAAACTGTTAAGGAAATGACATGCCATTGAAGTTATGATTTCAGAAATGTTACAATGCATGTTTGACTCACCTGCCAGTTTTGACAAATACTCTTATTTTACTTAATCTTCTCAGAAAATATCTTACCTCCTTACGCCCTTACCTCCATTTTGAGGAAACTGAAGTTTAAAAAGATTCCCTTGCTCAAGGTCAAATAGCTAATAAGTAGAAGAAGTAGGGCTTAAATCAAGGTCCTTTTGTGTTAATAATTTGTAGACTTCCATGTGAGAGTTCCAGAATTTTACTGTAAAAAAAAGTTTATGCTGCGTTTATAGTATAAGCTGATATTTATGAAGTGTAATTCAAAGACTTCTTTTAAAATACATTAAGATATAAGAACTTATTTACAAATATTGCAAATTTAGAGTTCTGTTTTTAGTTTCTTAAAATAAGTCTGTGTGGAGAAAGCGAACAGTAGAATTTATTAATAAAGAAAACTAATTTTTCTATCATGGCATGTGAAACAGATGCTAGGATAACTCTTATCTTTCCTAACAGGGCTGTACAAAAGGCAGGCATAATAGTGAGAAGCCACCTGAGCCAGTCAAACCTGAAGTCAAGACTACTGAGAAGAAAGAACTTTCTGAATTGAAACCCAGGTTTCAGGAGCACATCATTCAAGCCCCTAAACCAGTAGAAGCAATAAAAAGGCCAAGGTACACTTTATACAGTTGTATATTTTTGTCACAAGTGAATAATAGCATTTATTCTTGGTATTTTATGATTTTACATAATACCATTTATAGCTATTATGTAGGTCACCAACTTTTTATCTATTTGATTTTCTCTTAAGTATACATTCCATTTTTATTCCCCCTTCAACTTGAGGGCATGTACACAGTAAACTTCCATTGCATATTTGTTCATATATCATCATAATATGTCAAAAGCAGAAAAGCCTCCATCTGTCTTGTGACTTGACATGTCTTTTTCACTGTGGCATAGTGAAATTCTAGAAAGGAATTGTTGTCATAGAATCAGTTTGAGTTGAAAAAGAACTTTAGACACCTGCCTCTTCATTCCTCTGCTGTTTTCTTGAATATTTTCTAGGACATTCCTGACAGAAGGATATTTAGTTTCCTTTCAAATAATTCTAGTGAAGAGGAATTTACTTTTATTTTAAATTAGTCCATTTTATTGTTACTAAGTGTATATTTTTTTGCTCATATTGAGCCAAATTCTGTCTCCTTCATTTGCATATTTTGTCACTAGAACAAGCCTAGTCACTCCTTTTACTTTCAGATAACTGAAAACTGATAATTTTATTATTACTATTAAACTTTTTTATTTATTTGATTTAGATGGCAGATCTGTTAAAGTACTTTTAAAATACCTTTTGCTCATTATGCAGTAGAATTACCCAGATTCTTTGTACTTACCTTCTGGTCAACTAAACTCTGTTTTACGTTCTCACACATGCATGTTGGCTGCCACTGTTAAACCAGGCCTCCTTCATTTTGCCCTTGAGTATTGTTTTAGAACCAGGATATAAGACTTAGAAAACAGATGGTTTTTGGTCTCAAATATGGCCCAAGTTGTTTTTTTTTTTTTTTTTTTTTTTAAGATTTTATTTATTCATTTGGGAGAGACAGAGAGAGCACAAGCAGGGGGAGAGGCAGAGGCAGAGGGAGAAGCAGGCTCCCTGCTGAGCTGGGAGTACACTTGGGGCTCTGTCCCAGGACCCTGGGATCGTGATCTGAGCCAAAGGCCGATGCTTAACCATCTTTATTTATTTATTTATTTATTTATTTATTTATTTATTTTTTAAAGATTTTATTTATTTGAGAGCGAGAATGAGAGACAGCATGAGAGGGAGGAGGGTTAGAGGGAGAAGCAGACCCCCCACCGAGCAGGGAGCCTGATGCGGGACTCGATCCCGGGACTCCAGGATCATGACCTGAGCCGAAGGCAGTCGCTTAACCAACTGAGCCACCCAGGCGCCCGATGCTTAACCATCTGAGCCACCCAGGTGCCCCCTGAGTTGATGTTATTCCCATAATGGACTTAATGGTTTTCATGATTTTTTCTCTTTATTGATCTTAAATAAATTTATAGCATACTGAATAATACTGGACCAATATAAGAAGCCTGAGAGACTTTTTGACATTTGTTCATTTAACCAAACTACTTACACTGATTTTTATTCCATCTCCACCTTATTCATAATCATGAGAGACTTTATCAGATGCCTTGCTGGCTGATTTGCCAGTTACAAAAAAAAATTAAGAGGAAAAGACAACTTTGGCATGGCTCATTCTTAAGTATTACAATGGTGTCTACTGTAATTAGCAGTATGAGTTAATAATTTACTTTAAATAATGGACTACTAATTGAGAGAAATTTAAGTACTTTTCCATAAATTCATTTGGTAGTATTGTAGAGATTATGGGAATATAGGTTTTTATGTACTGTTGTTAATGCTTCCTATATCTTCCTACAATAGTTGTTTTCATTAAGGATGTGGAATGAATAATTTCTGTTTTTATTGTTGCATTTATTAATATGCTTAATACTTATTGAATGGCTTTAAATAAATTGTACGCATAACACTTAATCATTATGAAGTGTTGGGGCGTGTTAATGATTTTTAACCCTACTGAAATTGCCTTGTGATAAAATTTTATCTGAATGTATGGATGCATATAACCAGTGTCCACACAAAGTGAATTATCTCCACTGGTAGGAATATGGATTCACTTAGTACATATTTGTTGCCTGTTAATTGTATGCTCAGCATTTTGCTTAGGTGTAGAATGTAAAAGTACTTCATGGTTCCTTCTTGGCAAATGTGGATTCCTATTCTTTACTTCCTTCCCATTAGACCTACTGATTAGTAATTTACCATGTTGGCAATAGCATGATTATTTGAGACTTAATATGTTTATTTACTTATGTATTTATGTATGTATGTATGTATGTATGTATGTATTTATGGAGGGTGCGGAGGGAGAGAGAGAAAGTCCCAAACAGGCTCCACACCTAGTGTGGAGTCCGACTCAGGGCTCAATCTCACAACCCTGAGATCGTGACCTAATCCAAAATCAAGAGTCGGATGCTTAACTGAGTGAGCCATCCAGGTGCCTGAGTTTTAATATTTTAATATCAGAATTTTTCTGTTAAAACTTGAAAGTATAGATACATATTACAGTTATTTGTAAAATACTATTTAATAGGAAAAACTTGATTCACAAAGCATTTGGCTTTTTATAGATTCTTAGTGTATTTATTTTTACTAATATATATATATATATATATATGTATTTTTTTTTGGTATATCAATAATGGTAATAAAATTTAAAAATTCTCCAGCCCAGATGAACCAATGACAAAATTGGAATTAAAAATATCTGCTTCCCTAAAACAAGCACTTGATAAACTTAAACTATCCTCGGGGAATGAAGAAAATAAGAAAGGTAAGATTTTATTTTGTATTTTTTTTTCTGTACAATTAACCAATTATCTAAAAGAGACCACAGTGTGGTTCACTGAATATAAATATGAAAAGGTAGCACATTATAGTAAAGAATTTATTTTTGTTTTCTAAATACCAGTAGTACCACAAAATGAATTAGTGGTTTATTCCATAATGTCTTTGTTAAAATGTCTTTATTAAATGTTTCATTGTGCGTAATATAAAATATTCTCAGTATATTCTGACCTACACTCAATACCATGGAGAAAAGTAGTTATCCCTTTCGTGATTTCTCTTTTATAGGGTTAAGATGTTGGATATTGTATTGCATTATAGAATAGAAATGTGTCATATACCATTTGGGGACATGGGCAAAACTTAATCACAATAATTCTTACCAGCTTTTTAAATATATTCCCTGAAAGGTCACATAGAAAACTTAGTAACTTAAAATTGTTCTCAAATATCAGTGTTTTTTAGATTTAGTATTTTTTCAAATACTTGTTTTATGAAAGAGGTTATTTAAGAATGACACTAAAGTATTTATTTTAATGTTTCTAATTTGATTTTCTTTTCTTGTTTTAGAAGAGGACAGTGATGAAATTAAGATTGGGACCGCATGTAAAAATGGAGGGTGTTCAAAGGTATATATTGTAAAATTTGTGTTGTGTCATGGAAGTAGAAATGTAATTTTTGAAGAAGAGGGTGCAATTTACTGATTCAGTTCAACAAACATTTGGGTGCCTGTTATGTGTTGGTCAGTGTGCTATGGACTAGGGCTGTGAACATGGATAAGAGACTCTGTCTCTGACGAACATCATATCTGACAGAATCATGGAATAAATAATTCTAATTCAGTCAGTATTTACTGAGCACTTACTGTATGCCAGACAGTGTCTGGGGGGCTGGAAACACAGTATCAAGGAAGCAAAAATTTCTGCTGTTGTGGAGCTGATAGTTTAATTTAGGGAGAAGGATAACACATAGGCAATTAAATATTATGAATTTAGGTAGATACGAAGAAAATATAGTAAACAAGGAGATAAAGCTATTAAAAATAAGGCTGTCAGGAAAGCCCTTTGGGAAGTGACACTAAATCAGAAATCTAAATAATGTAGCAGGTGAGTTATGTAAACCTCCAATCGATAGGGGAGCAGTATGTGTAGGGCCTTTAAAGCTTGGCTTTTCAAGAAATTATGAGAAAAGTCCGTGGGGCTTGGTCATGGGTGTGAAATATGAAAGGTAGGGGTAAGTGAGGTAGACAAGATTATGGTGGTCCTTACAGGGCACATTGAGGGGTTTGGGCTTTTTTTCGTATAATGGGAAGACATTCTCTGTTTTAAGGAGGGGTTCTAAAAACCTCTTTGACTGATAACCTGGCAAATATAATGGGGCACTGGGGATTTGGAGGAAGGAAAACCAGCTAGGATGCAATTGTGGAAGAGCAGGCAGTGGGATTGGAGCTTATTTTTTAGAAGTGGTTAAATATGGGATCTACGCGAACATCTGAGGATTTTCCTACCCCTCTGTGTGAAATTGCATGCCCTCCAGCATCTCCACTCCCAACTGTCCTTTTTTCTTCAGGACACTAATCCCCTTATAACATGCTACTTCTTTTGCATATGCATTTTGCTTATGATCTAATTTTCCCTTCCCTTCCTCCACTCATACGAGGTTTACAAGGACAGAATTTTTTTTGTTGTTCTTTGCTGTATCTTAAATGCTCAGAACAGTGCCTGGCTCCTGACAAACCATGCAGAATGAATACTATTTGGAAGTATTAGCAGAACTTGCTAATGAACTTTAAGTGGAGGGGACTTGGGGCTCCAGCAGCTAGGTGACTGGTGACACCATTAACCAAGAAGGAAAAAACAGGGTTTGGGGAGCAAGGTTTGTAATTTTCCCTCATGTTAAGTTTGAGATCACCTTGCTTATTTAGGGATGGAAATGGAAATGGATTTACATGTATGTAAGGTAGAAGTAGTAGATAGAAGAGAGTGACTGAGTACTGGGGTGGAGGTGCAGGAAGATCAGAGAGAGACAGTTTCAGATCGATTTTGAAACATGAATGTCAATTCCATAAATGGACAAAAAGGGAAAGGATTCCTCAAGCAGAGGTGATAGCCGTATACAGCAAACAAGAAACGGTTAATAATGTATAAAATTTGTTGGTGTGGAGATTAAAAGAGAGAAGTAGGGACCAGACCTTTAAAGGCTTTTATAGTGCTTGAAAGTTAGATCTCACTTGATGTAGTTTAGAGAGGCCATTATTTGATCTTTTTCATTGAAATATAACATCAAAAAGTATACAGATGTAAGTAAATTTATAGCTCAAGGGATTTTCACAAAGCAGAGCCCTCCTTATGCCTTCTCCCATTTATTATTTCCTCCCAAAAGTAACCATGTTTTTCTATCAAGATAGAGTAGTTTTGCCTATTTTTGAGCTTAATGTGAATAGAATCGTAGACCAGGTATTCTTGCACCTGTCTTCCTTGGCTTAACGAAATGTGTGTTAGAGTTATCTTTGTTGCATGTAGCCATAGTTTGTTCATTTTCATTGTTTTAAAATGTGCTGCTGTGTGAATGTTGCCAGTCAGCTTACCTTTTTATTATCCTTTAACTTTTTTTGTTTAATGCTACTATTGAACATTTTTGTGCCTGACTTTTGGGACACGTGGATACATTTCTATTAGGTATATGACTAGAAATGGAATTGCCAGATCATTGTGTGTCTGTGTCCAGCTTTAACAGATACTTCCTCATAGTTTTTGAAGATGGTTGTATTTACACATCTGCCAGCAGTATATGAGGCTTTCCATTTGTTCTACACCTTGGTAACATTTTGTAATATCAGTCTTCTATATTTTAGCCATTCTGGTTAGTGTGTAGTGTTCCATTTTAATTTGCACATTCCTGATGATGAGGTTGAGTACCTTTCTGTATGTTTATTGGTCCCTTGGATATTCTCTTTTGTGAAATGTCCGAAATCTTTTATGTATTTTTCTATCAGTTGGCTTTTTCTTACTGATTTTAGGAATTCTTGTTTATTTTTTAACCAGAGAGAGACACTATACATTTTCACTGTCTTAATAACGACTTGTGATAAACAGAGGCTGTTTAATTTTAATGAAACCCAATTTGTCTATTTTGTTTGGCTACTGTTCTTCGTATTCTTTTTAAGAAGTTTGCCTACTTGAAGGCCATGAATATTTTCTCATATGTAGAGGCACGTTTAAAATACACAAACCACCTGGAACTGATAACTGTAAGGTGTGAGGTAGATGTAACTAAAGAACTATTACAAGAGAGTGATAGATGTTTTAGTTAGAGAGTAGAGTACAGAAATGGAAGGTAGAGAAAAGAGTTAGAATCTGTTAGTATAGTCTTATTGTCTAAAATCTGCTAGTGATCATGAGGAAGGTGAGCAAATTAAACTGGTATTTTCAAACTAAATTGACAGGATTTCATGATAGAAAACATGGATATGGTGCCATCAAATAAGGTAGGAAGAAGAGTAGGAGTTGAGGGGGCAATAGTGATAAAAAATCAGAATCTAACATAACTGATTTTTACGAGCTTATGGAATCTCTTTAGGAGATGTACACAGGCAGTACTTTGGATTTACCAAAAGTAAATACACAGAATTTTATTTTCTATACTTGTAGGTGGTTGCTATAAATACCAAAGTAAAAAATATACTACTGGCTGCATCTGTGTTTTATTAACATAACTTTTTGTGAATTCATCTGTAGAGCCTTCACCTACAGCAGCAATGGGGCCCGGATCTTCCAGACAAACCCTGGATATATTTATAGGTCTGCAGCTCATTTTACCCTTCCTAGGGATAAGAAGTCAACAGCACTGTAGAACTTCCAGAATTGCTTTATTAATTTGTAATACCCACACAGAGTTTCCTGTACACATAAATCATGCTGTAACTGTATTTCCATTGAGAATACTAATCCCTTGGTTTCAGTATTGTCCTATAAATTTAAATACCTGAATATGCTTGAATTGTGACCTCGTACCTGAAAGTCTGAAAGCATCTTAATAGATCCCATTGCCTACTTTTCTATTTGCCTTTTTCACAGGGAACTAAAACTTAAGCGTATCTAAAAAGGAATCATTTTTCATTCCTTATTGGAATGGCCTGGGGTGAATTTATGAATATTCTAGGTAATTGCTATTTCTTGAGCATTTTCATAGTTCTTAGAGGTCACCAGTTCTACAAATGTTTATGAAATATGACATTGAGATGTGAAGCTAATTTTTTCTTCTTTTTTCTCTTTTAGACATTTCAGGGTCCACAGAGTCTAGAAGAAGTCTGTGTATATCATTCTGGAGTACCTATTTTTCATGAAGGGTAACTTATACATGTAATTAAAACTTCATGGTAGAGGTTAGAAAAGTTAATATGCCTATAAACATTATTTGCCATGCAGTATTATTAGGTATTTTACTTACATTGTCATATAATCTTTAGAATAACCTAGAATATGGGCTTTGTCTTTTTACATATGAGAAAACTGAAACAATTATTACAGTGGAGTGGCCATTGTGATTCAAACCTCATGTTTTTCCTTATTCCCTTATTTTTCCAATGGGTTACCCTTATTTAGTTTGAAGGACTGTTCTGTGCATTGCTGGACAGTTAGAATTTTTGGCCCTGGGGCACTAAGAAACCAATATTGTGTCATCCAAGAAAATCCACACTTTCTGCAGCCCTCCCTGAGATCTAGCCCCTCTTCCGTACTGTGCTGTGGTTTATAGAAATGCAGTACCATGTTAAAATCTTCCAGTCTGTATCACTTTTTGGGAGCTTTATGAGGAAACTGGAATTATTAGTGAAAATAGTGAAAATTATTAGTGAAAAAAACTATTAGTGAAAAGTGGATTTGGAATTTTGTGATGGTTTTAAGCATCTTTACTGAGGAGCTCCAGAATTGCTACAATAAATGCCATTCTGGTTTTAAAATGATTAGTCTTCTGAAAGTTTTAACTGTTTAGTAACTTAGACACTTTGTAGAATACTAACGTTGCACACATTTATCTTTTAAAATCACACTGTCACTGTACTTTTGGACTTAAGTGGTTGTAAGATTTTATTTCTGAAGTTTTTCTATGATAATTTAAAGGATGAAATACTGGAGCTGTTGTAGAAAAAAAACTTCTGATTTCAATACATTCTTAGCCCAAGAGGGCTGTACAACAGGGAAACACATGTGGACTAAAAAGGATGCTGTAAGTAACATTTTCATAACAACATATTGGGATATATTTATCTGTCATTTTTTTTTTTTAAGATTTAAAATTATTGTCTTAAGAAATTAAAAAAAAAAAAAGTTTTTCTGTCTCTCATACAGTAAAAAGGTTTGATGTGCCTAAAAATTAAAATTGAGTCAAGCTCCCAGAGCACTGTCTTTGATCCCAGGTAGCCATTGTGTATGATGATGCAAATATACAGGCTTTTGTGAAATACTAAAGCCTCTGCCAAATTTGAAGCATGTGTTTCTGTAATTCCATAGGCTCTTCCCACTTTTTGTTTTTTTAAAATCAATTTTCTACTCCTTCAATGATACTAATCACTTAGACCTTGGATTCTCTTCTGGCCACTTAAAACTTCATGCAACCATTTACAATGCAAAATCACTCCACCTAGCGGCCAAAGAGAAGGATGGCAAACTTGTTCCAATTGTCTTGAATGCCTCTGCTTGCTTCGGGGTAGTTTATCAAAACAACCAAAAAAGCTTTGGTTCCAGCTTCACTGGATAGCTTTTTAAAAAGACATAGGCTATGCAAATAAGTGTCCAGAATCCCATTAAATTGTAAGAAGGCAAGCAATTTATTGCTCAGTAAGTGCACCTTAGCTATTGTAATGTATTTTATAATGTATTAGTTTTATGTGCTATATTGGCAATAACAACCCCACTAACAACAAACCTTTTCACTATATGTGTCTTTTAACTTATAAAATAATTGTAGATTTTCAGATTGCTTTAGGGATTCATTCTACATTTAAGTATTCTATAGTTTCTGATTTTTAACATAGTTTCTGATTTTTAATAACGTGCTTTGGTATTATAAATATGTCCTTCAAGTTATAATTCATCTGCCACAAAACTTGCACGAATGTTTTATTAACAAAAAGACTTAGTAAAGTCTCCCTGTATTTTCTCCAGGGACCAAAACTTTGGAAGTTTTAGCTTAAAATGTTGTTTTCTATTATATGCAGAAGTTTTCAGAGTATAACCCTTGATGAAGTAATGTTTTGTTATATTTTAATGCGTGCGCCTATCAAGTATTAAGTGTCTGAGCTAGCAGCTAAGGGCAAAAAATGTAAGTGATGTAAGTCATTTAAATTCTATTAGCATATTTATACCAAAATATAAATACTGCATTTTCAACAGTAGTGTCTCACAGTTTCCTGCATTATGTAACTAAGTTGCTCTCGTAAATTTACAAAACAAATCAGAATTTGTCTCTTTTTTAAATAGTCCTTGATAAAGCGATGTTCCACTGGTAGGTAATAGTTATTTCTATAATAATAACCAAAACATTACTTCCACAAATTACCACTTTTTTCTTCATTTTATTATTAGAGGAAAATAAACTATTCTCTAACAGATAGCAGATAGCTGTAAGTAGTCACTTAGTTCCAATTTGTAGAAATTGGAAATTTCAATTTGTAGTCAGGTTCCAACTTACAGAAAATAAATGGAAGATTTCTATGCATGAGGTTAAGATGTTTTCTGGATTATTTCACTAAGCAAATGTCTTATTTTAGTCTTCATAGAACGTTTTTATGACTGTGCTTAGTGGATTTCAGAAACGTTAAAATAGGATAAAATTTAGTAGGAGTTCTTTCAGTGTATATTAATGCTATGGCCCTTAAAGAAAAAAATCAAATGGAAGAATAAGCGTGTTCTCCAGCCATAAGACTATAAAGGTTATCTTTATTGTGATACAGTTTATTGTTTAAACCTTCATTAGCTGGGAATTTTTGAAGTTGTTTGCCCTTAAAAACATTAAGGGCTCAGTTGCACACGGTAATTTTTTTTCTTTTTTTAATTATTTGGCTCAGATTCCTCTTTTTTTGAGGGGTTATGTGGCACTTGGTAAATTCATAAGGTTTTTCTTTCATAGGGGAAAAAAGTTGTTCCATGTAGACATGACTGGCATCAGACTGGGGGTGAGGTCACCATTTCAGTATATGCTAAAAATTCACTTCCAGAACTTAGCCAAGTAGAAGCAAATAGTACATTGGTAAGTACACTAAATATCTTTGAGAAAAAATTGTCTTCATACATTATTCTCTATATTAATGTATTATAAATACTGTGTTTGGATTGATTTTAAGATTTTTTAATCTTTTCCATTTGGAAAAAATGCTTGAAATTACTGTCAGAAACTATTTTAAATGAAAATTTCTGCATAGTGAATTATTTCTGAAGCATTCTGGAGATACTATGGTAGCTTAGATTTATCAAATAATACAATACCTCGTTCTCAATATGAAATGGCAAGTTAAATTTTCTGTTAATGGTTTCCTCAAAAAAAATACACAATATTGGAAGTTTGTTGAAATAGCTTAAATGACTTATATCAGTATCTTATTTTTATAATCATTGTTTTAAATCCTATTCAATTTGGATCTGATCGGTTTCTGTGTTTTTCAGTTAAATGTGCACATTGTATTTGAAGGAGAAAAGGAATTTCATCAAAATGTGAAATTATGGGGTGTAAGTATCAATGAATCCAGAATTTTTTCTAATACTTTTTTAAAAAACCCAATTTGTACAGTAAAAAGACCATACTTCAGAAACCAATGATGCAAAGTAGGAATATAACTTACCATTAATTCTTTTAAAAACTTTAAATCTGGGTATAAAAATGGCCTTAGAAGCTCGGAGTTGTGATTATTAGCATAGACAAGACCAATATTTTCCCCTAAGACTTAAAAAACAACATCAGGGTTTACTGTCATTCTCTGCTACGTTGCAGGTGATTGATGTAACAAGAAGTTATGTAACTATGACTGCAACAAAGATTGAGATCACCATGAGAAAAGCTGAAGCTATGCAATGGGCAAGCCTTGAACTGCCTGTTACCAAAAAGCAGGAAGAACAAAAAGAAGAAACAACAGAATGAGATGACAGGGAAAGGAAGTTATTGCCTATTTCAGAATTCCTGCTATGTGGTAAATGGTGGCTTGCTGCTGTCCTCTTTTGTTGTCGTTGTTGCTGTTGCTGTTGTTGAATCTGGCAGTTCAGGGTCAACGGTAGGTTCTTAAAAGCCAAAGGCAGTTTATCTTTTCGTGCCTCCCGTCTCCTTTTTGAGTTACCTAAGTTTGATTATTCATTTCTCCTCACTTGGCAGAACTGTAGTTATGTCCTATACTTGAAAAGCTAGAAAGTAGCTCATAAACAGTTACAGTATTTCTTGGTATAATATTATGTTTAGCAGAGAAGGGTAAAAAAAACATTTGTTCACATCTCTTTTCTATTATCCCATAATTAGTAAAACAAGATGGAATGTCAGATTTTTAATTAGTTTTTCATTAGTTTGTGTTCCTATAATACTTGAAAATCTTTAAGAAGGAGATGAAGCTCTGCATTGTTTTTTCCTAGGGAAGGTTACTTTTTCTAGGAGGAATAATTCTGAGGTAGTGTAGTAGCTAGTTAAAGGGGAGTATATGCATTGAATAACAAATTGGAATTTGTTTACAGCTAATTAAATTAAAACATATCAGCACCTATATTACTTGCCAAGTGCTATGATTTAAATGTATAGAAAACATTATAAATAAGAGTAGAGAGGTATCAATTTGGTTAAAATTTGCCGTTTTATTAAGACTAAGCAATAATGTTAAATATCTGTTTCCTGATTATTTTATAAGGTCTTTGTATGGTGTTATGACTAAATTGTACCTGATTCTCATAACCTACACCCTCTTAAAATCTTTAATTAGTTACATGTAAAGAGAAATTTTTATATATGTTATAATTTTATATATATATATGTTATATATATATATATAAATATCTGGCCTCCCTGATGGAAAACTGTATGTATAAAACCATAGATTTAAAGGCTTATGGAAATACATTACGGTATCAAAAAATGAAATATTTAAGCTTTGCTTTATGAGAAATATCTATTACATGTTAAATAAAATAGCTGAATTCTTTTGGAGTTTTGTTTTAGGCTTTCATGAACAGCTTGACAATGTTGATTATATATTACACTTCATTAGATACAGGTATCAGAGACTTAGATTGTTTATGCTAATTGAACCCATTAAAGACAGTTTACTTTTTGAGGCAATGCAGAGCTCACCAAGAAAACTAAAATTAAGAAATGTTTTGAAGGCCAAAGCTTTGGCAGGACTTAAGAAATTTGGGTATGAATTATGCTAATGTAGATTAAAATAATTATTTCCCAAGCCCCTTGAGTGTTTTTTTTATTCTTATAACAAAAATTTGCATAAGTACAGTTTTAGAAGTATAGGTTAATAAAGAGTGTGTCTCACTCAACTATCCTTTTAGCAAATAACTACTAAAGGTAGTTAAGTAATTATTAAATGATTTAGCTCTGTTACAAATAAAGACATAAAAAATCTGGCAACTGGGCTTGCATGACACATGGTATTTTAATGACATGCCATGTAAACATTTTGGTACAATTGGGCCAAATAGAGTATGTAAGTTTCTAGTACTTGGGGTTGTATTTAAATTTTTAAAAATTATCTTTCATAATTTAAAGACCTGGGTTCATTTGGAGACATAAAATCTTGTTTATTGTTTAGGGGAGAGGTTGATACTTGATTTGATTTGAAGTAATGATTAATACACCTTTTTTAATGTTTTCTTCTTGAGACTTTTTTTCCCCTAAGCAGTGTCTTAATGTGTTACATGCAGTTGAACTATTATTTAAAGCAAGTGGATTTTTCACCTGAGAGTTAGTTACAAAGCATTAACTGTGTGTGTGTGTGTGTGTGTGTGTGCCTGTGTGAAAGATGTAGCTTATATAGTTACATTAGTGATTAGTGACCATTCTGTTTTCTCTCTACTCTTAATGATCCTCTGATTTGTTGCCCAAATAAATATCTAAATATTTTTATCTTAGATTCGTACATAAAGGGACAGAGTTATTATTCAGTAGAGTATGTGTTACTTTTAACTGTCAAGAAAATTAAAAATGTCAAGTTTGTATCTCTAGAAATATGCTTTGTCTTTCTCAGCATTCAGAGTACTTGTAGCAAAGCAGTCAAAACTAAGTTTATTATACACTTGGTAACTAATCTGACAGCTTAAACTCAACATGGGAAATAGAAAATACTATTTTTTTCTTGTTCAGTACCTTTGCTAGTATAAAGGTAGTATGGTCCTAAGAGTTGAGCTTTTATTTTTTTTAAACTCTTGAGATAATTTTAGATTTATAAGAGTTGCAAAAAAAGTACTTAGAGAAGTCTTATTTTCTATAGTAATCTTTGCCTTGTATTAAAATCTTATGTGACCATAGAACACGTACAAAACTAAGAATTAGTACAGTAGGTACAGTACTACTACCTAAAGCAGAACATTGATTTTGACCATCTTTTTTTAGTGGAACACTTGAAGGGTAGTTCTTAAAACCTACCCTAGTTTTCTTGTAATAATTTCAGATAGTAACTTGTAAACCATTAAAAATATAAATTGAAATCAGCCTACCTTAGAGAGCCATGTTTATATAGGTCAGTGATGTAACTTCTTGTGACCATATACTGGCAAAGGACTAATGATCTATTTTATCATTTTATGCTAGAGATTTTAATTCTTATTAAGTGTAACTTGTTTGGTTTTCTTTAGACAATTCTTTAACCATTTAAGGGTGAAGAAAACCTTAAAGACTTGTTGAAAATATTTTAAGATGACTTTGGGGTATTGCTCTGCCACTCCTTGCTTTTTTCAAAAAAAAGTCAGCCATTCCCCAATCTGACACCCACAGTACATTTTTAAAAGCTCATTTATGAGTTCCTTTACCAGTTTTAAGGCATTTGATTATATATTCTTTTTTTGTTTTTATAATTACCAGGTATTTGTAAGTTGTCAGAACATTAACAGGGTTTTGTTTTATTGCATATTAATTTTGATTAGGCATTCATATTTGGTATTGTTTTTATTCTTTTGCCTATATCATAATTCTGTGGCCTCAGATCTGAAATGCAAGCTAAGTCTAGCTTGTTTTTAGGTTTTGTTAATATTTCCTTTCATTTATTTAAATTGTTGAGTTGATAGGCAGTTGATTTTTTACCTGATTACTTCCTTCCTGCCTAAGTATCTTAGAACTTAAACTCATCTGGAGTTGTTGCATGACTTGCCTTTTTTATTTAGGTGTAGATGCCTGGGGCTTTATACACATAGTATTATCTCTGAAGTACTGAGCTTGCAGTGTTTTTCTTCTGCATAGTTACTATTTGATTTTAAGTTTTTATATAATTCTTAGTTTTGAAGAATTCCTTCAAGAACAGTTTCTCTAAAGGGCATGTTTTAATTAAATGTTAATTAATGACCTTTCTTAATTTTCTAATTTAGAAACTTACTTACCCTGCTCTGCAGGGAGCCTGCTTCTCCCTCTCCCACTCCCCCTGCTTGTGTTCCCTCTCTCGCTGTGTCTCTCTCTGTCAAATAAATAAATAAAATCTTTAATTTAGTAGGCCACCTTTAATGTCCATTAAAGTGAAATAAAACTTCCAGCCTTAAACATTTTTTTTTTAAGATTTTTATTTATTTATTTATTTGAAAGAGAAAGAGCACATGAGATGGGGGAGGGTCAGAGGGAGAAGCAGACTCCCTGCCGAGTAGGGAGCCTGACGCGGGACTCGATCCCAGGGACTCCAGGATCATGACCTGAGCCAAAGGCAGTCGCTTAACCAACTGAGCCACCCAGGCGCCCAGCCTTAAACATTTTTATGTTGATTAAAAACTGTGTCAAAATAACTTGGTTTCCATTTCTTTTTGATCAAGCAGGTATACTGCTCAAATGACTGGATTGTTAAATTATCTTTAAGACTTTGCTAATTGAAGTAAGATTACTATTAAGCCTGGAAGAGGGAAACATCCATGAACCTGTAGTACTTTCCTGTCACCCTCCACAAATGAGACTAGATGAGTGTAGTAGGGTTAATGCTTTTAAAACAGTGTGATCTTTTCGTTCAAATGCTTATTACAGTTTACAGTTCCATATTCATATTTTATTTGTATGATTGATTTGTTAATGTCTGTATACTCTTATAGACGGACAATAACCTTGACTGTGTTTTGGCCAACCATAGTATCTCCATTTTCTAGTATAGTGCTTGGCATATTGATTGGCTCTTGTAAATATCAAGATCCACAGCCCTTCTTATGGGCCAGTCACTGTTCTAAGGACTTTAATGAATATGAACTTAATCCTAATGATAACTCTATGAGGTAGGTTCTATCATTATATTATAGGTGGGGAAAGTGATACATTGCATAGGTTAAATAACTTGCCTAAGTCAAAGCTCATGAGTTTATAGAGAGTAGAGATTTCAAGCTCAAGCAGCCTTGCTTTGCGTTCTGTGCTCTTAACTTCTCTGTGCTGCTTTTGTCTGTCAGTTAATAGGTTCCATAAAACGTTGGCACATAGCATGGAAAATTGGTAACACTGTGTTTGGTTACCAGGAACAAATTTTTAGTTTCATATGTTTTGTTAGAAAATAAGTTTATAAAATAAAATATGTAGTCCTTTTGTCTGAGTGGTTTTAGTTATAATAATAGCTCGATTACAAACTCATCATTTGTGATTTGACAACTCTTAGATCTCTAGTTTCTCTCAACAGCCTCCAAAGAAGTTTCAGAATCCTCAGTTTCAAAAACAAGTTTCCATTGTCTTTTTGATAATGGTATGTATCCTGTATGTAGCTTTACAGATAGGAATTCATATCTGCATATTAGGAAAATGTGTAATGAAACAGCATCAGATTTGTCTTTGTTTTCCCCATTAGTATGAGACCTGCTTAAAGCAATTACATAATTTAAAGTGTCTGCAACATAAAATGCCTGCATAGGAAAGACAGATAATAGGGTAAGTATAGGACAGATAGCAAGGGATCATTTCATCTTCTAGGCTAGGCCAGTGGCTATCAAAATACCATTTCTAGACTAGCAGGATCAACGTCTCAGAATTTATTAGAAATGTAAATTCTGGGTCCCCAACCTCAGACCTACTAAATCAGAAACTCTGGGAATGGGGCCCAAAAATTTGCAGAAAAATGTTGATGTACAATAAAGTTTGTACTAGCAGCATGGAAGTGTGATTAGGCTTGCAGTTTTTTTCTTCTTATCAACTTAATTTCTTTTAAATTTACTCTGTTTTAGAACAGTTTTGGATTTAAAGAAAAACTGAAGATAGTACAGAAGAGTTTCCATATATTCCACATCCAATTTCTCCTATAATTAACATCTTACATTAGTATGATACATTTGTTAGAATTAATGAACCAGTAATGATACATTTTATTAACAAAAGTCCATACTTTATTCAGATTTCCTTAATTTTTACCAAATGTCGTTTTCTGTCCCAGGATCCTATCTAGGACACCACATTACATTTAGTCATCTTGTCTTCTTGGGCTCCTCTAGGTTTTGACAGTTTCTCAGACTTCCTTCAAAACCCTAACAGTTTTGAGGAGTACTGACTGGCCAGGTATTTTGTAGAATGACCCTCACTTGGGATTTGTCTGGTGATTTTCTTAGGGTTGTATTGAGAAAACCACAGATGTCAAGTGTCATTCTCATTGGTGGTATTTGGGGTACATACTGTCCAATAAAAGATTGTTCAGACTTACACCCTGAATATGCAGTGTGTGCCACCCAAACCACCTGTACTGAGTCCCCTGTAGGAAAGAAAAGTTCTTTGCTGGCAGAATGGGGAAAGAAAGCTGCTGGGTGACAAAACAACATAAATTCACCACAGACTATCTCTTGCTTGATTGTCGGTTCAGTGATTAAACAATTTAGTTAGGCATGGTATATTCTTAAGGTGGAGGAAAATGTAAAGATTATGTGTGTCACCAAATAAAATCCACAAATTATAAACGTTTGCTACATTGGGCTTATTAGAATTAATGGGTTTCTTGGAATTAACAACTGTGTGTAAAACTTTAAAAGGCTCCCTACTAATGAGAGCTAGATTCTAATAGACTGATCTCAGACTGCACACTTCATATTAGAGGCCAACTTGGACTGGTTTTGATACCTTAAGGATTCCTTCCAGGACACGCCCCCACCTCCATAAAATTCCCTAAATTATTAGCAGGAAAAGCCTGAGTTGGAGGCAGAGGGGGAGGAACAAATTTAAGGAAGCAGAAAGCCAATATCAGGATAAGGGATATTAGAACTGAAATGTATTCAGTTAGGTGGAATTCTAGTTCAGTTTTTCAGGCAGGTAATTTAAAACCGTCAGGAAAAGTGTCTAATAACAGGACCTTATAATTCACTTGTGATTAGGTTAGATTACAAAAATTTTGCAGTTGAGGCTTAGGAATTTAGGTATCAGTTACAAGTAATTCAAAACTGTAGACCAAACTATAGCTAATTTTTTTTTTTTTTTTAACATTTTATTTATTTGACAGAGAGAGACACAGTGAGAGAGGGAACACAAGCAGGGGGAGTGAGAGAGGGAGAAGCAGGCTTCCCGCCGAGCAGGGAGCCCGACGCGGGGCTTGATGCCAGGACTCCGGGATCATGACCTGAGCCGAAGGCAGATGCTTAACAACTGAGCCACCCACGCGCCCCTATAGCTAATTTTTTATTCTTCAAGAGTTTGGCACCTAGAGGTTGTCAAGCACTTCAAGTGTTTTTAGTAGCTTTTCATTTAATTTTAGAACACCTCTATATGATTATATACTATTACTCCTATTTTACTGATAGAAAAGCAGAGGCAAAGGAAAACTACATACATTGCCTCAGGTCACATAAGTAGCAAATGGTGAGATTAGATTTTAAATTGAGGAACTTTGATTCCTAAGTCCTTAAACCCTTTAGCATGAGTTTAAGTCATCTAAAGACATCTAAGTCACCATGCGAAACCTAAAATTGTAACTGCCCTTTGCTTATTAGTCTTTTCTTAGTATCAGATGACCAAATTATCATGGAAAGATAGTAGGTTTTCAGTTTTTTATTCAGTGGAGCCACTAACATACTTGGTAAGGACCTTTAAAGGGCATGTGGGCGATTGAGAATTAGGGAGGGAGTCTGCAGGACTGAATGAAAGTAATAGGCTCATGGCAGTGAATTTGTCTTGTAAAGTCTTGTGCATGTAAGTTGGCCTTACTATCATCTGAACTTTGGAACAATTTTGTGCATCTCTGTGTACTTAGATATGGATGATTGAAAGGCTAAGTACATAGGCAAGTAACGTCACTGTAACGGGGTGAAAGAAGCATTAAAATTATTGGTGTGTTATGCAAACCAACTCTTTCAATTATGTGAAACTGGATGGGTTCTCATTTGTGAAAAGTTAGGGAAGATGTTCCATCAAATTACAAAGGAAAGACTTTTTTAAAACCTGAACCCTAAGAGTATTTAATGAATCAAGAACCACATGTAAAATTATGTTATAAATAATAGGGCCCTTCTTCCAAAGGGAGATCTCTAGCATACATGGGTGATTTACTTTTCATGTATTATGCTTTGCCAGATAATCTTGAGACTAGCTGAGTTTTAGCTTTCTTGAGTTTTTCTCCAAAAAGTTCTGAGTTTGGTAGGTATGAAATTTACAAGTTTTATTAACATTTTTAATATCTAAAAGTTGGTAAGCATCTTCAGTATTGTGTAGCCATCCCTTTGCTTAATTATTTCATTTAACAAAAACACTTTTTAGTGACTTCTTTGTGCTGATAATTGACCAACCACACAGGCCTCTGCTTTTAAGGAAAGTTAAAGTCTATAACATGTTAAGTTGATACATTTATATATCATAATACGGTTGCCATTGAAGCAATAATTAGCACCTCTATCGCATAATTATTATATTTGGTAATTATTTTTGGAAGTCAGAATAATTAAGTTTTAATCTCTTAGCAAGTTGGATGAATTTAATAACACAATTTGCTGTTTTTATTCATTGTACTGGGCATTATATTTCTAGGGCATATTAACTACTTCTTATAAATTTGTACCCTGAAACTACATCTGTTCTTGACCCCACAACCTCTGTACCCTGCTAACCACCATTTTATTTTCTGTTTCTACAACTTTGGCCTTTCTAAATTCCACATATAAGTGACAGCATATAGCACTTGTCTTTCTCTATCTGACTTCTATAATGTGCCTTAAGTCCATCTATGTTGTCACAAATGACAGGATATCCTCCTTTCTCATGAGTGAATATTTCTCTGTGTGTGTGTGTCTGTGTGTATACATAACCTCATTTTTTTATCCATTCATCTGTCAGTGGACACAGGTTCTTTCCATATCTTGGCTGTTGTAAATAGTGCTGCAGTGAACACAGGGACACATTTATCATTTTGAATTAGTGGTTTCATTTTCTTTGGATATATACCCAGAAGTAGAATTACTAGATCATGTGATAGTTCTTTAATTTTTTTAAGGAACTTCCATACTGTTATCCATAGTAGCTGAACCAATTTATATTCCTACCAACAGTGCACAAGGGCTCCCTTTTCTCCACATCCTTGCTGCACTTGTCTTTTTGTTGATAGCCATTTGAATAGATAGAAGGTGATGTCTCCTTGTGTTTTTTTGTGTTTTTAAAGATTTTATTTGTCAGAGAGCATGCGCACAAGCAGGGGGAGCTGCAGGCAGAGGGAGAAGTAGGCTCCCCACTGAGTAGGGAGCCCGATGAGGGACTCGATCCCAGGACCCCAATCCCAGGATTGTGACCTGAGCTGAAGGCAGACTGAGCCACCCAGGCATCCCTCCTTGTGGTTTTAATTTGCATTCTCCTGCTGATTATTGAAGTTGAGCATCTTTTCATGTACCTGTTGACCATGTGGATGGACATCTTTAGAAAATGTCTGTTTAGTTCTGCCCATTTTTTGGATTCTTTCATTTTTTTGTATCCAGTTGTAGGAGTTCTTTATATGTCTTGGATATTAACATTTTATCATATATAATTAGCAAATATTTTCTCCCATTCTGTAGCTTGCTTTTTCTTTTTTTTTTTAAAGATTTTATTTATTTATTTGACAGAGAGAATGAGAGGGAGAGCACATGAGAGGGGGGAGGGTCAGAGGGAGAAGCAGACTCCCTGCCGAGCAGGGAGCCCGGGAGCCTGATGCAGGACTCGATCCAGGGACTCCAGGATCATGACCTGAGCCTAAGGTAGTCGCTTAACCAACTGAGCCACCCAGGCGCCCGCTTGCTTTTTCATTTTGATACTTCTTTTGCTGTGTGAAAAACTTTTAACTTTGATGTTCCATTTGTTGATTTTTTTGCTTTTGTTTGTGCTTTGGGGGTCATATCTCAAACATTACTATGATCATTGTTGAAGAGCTTCTTCCCCATGTTTTCTTCTAGTTTTATTGTATCAGGTCTTATGTTTATAAGTCTTTGATCCATTTTAAGTTAATTTTTGTGAGTGGTAAAAGGAGTCTAATTTCATTGCTCTGTGTTTGTTATCCATAGTAAGTTTTCCCAACCCATCTGTTGAATTGTCCTTTCCCCATTGGGTGTTTTTTGCTCCCTTGTCAAATATTAGTTGACTTACATACTCGGGTTTAGTTTTTGGCTCCCTGTTCTGTTGACCTGTATGTCTGTTTTAGTGTTGGCACCATGCTGTTTTTAATTACTGTAGCTTTGTGGTATAGTTTGAAATCAGCAAGTGGGATACCTCCAGCATTGTTCTTTTCCCTCAAGATTGCTTTGGCTATTTGGGGGTTCCATACAAATTTTAGGATTGTTTTTCTGTTTCTGTAAAGAATGCCATTGATATTTTGATGGAGATTGCATTTAATCTGTAGATGGCTTTAGGTAGTAGAGACTTGTTAATACTAACTCTTTTGATCCATGAACACAGGATGTCTTTCCATTTGTTTGTGTCTTTAATTTCTTTCAGCTAAGTCTTACAGTTTTCATTGTACAGATCCTTCACTTCCTTGATTAAATTTATTCCTAAATAGATTGTTTCTGATGCTGTGAATGGGATAATTTTCTTTTTCAGATATTTCATCATTAGGGTATAGGAATGTAACTTATTTTTGTACATTGATCACGTGTCCTGCAGCTTTCCTGAAATCACTGATTAGTTCCAGCAGTTTTTTGGTTTTGTCTTTGGGATTTTGCATATACAAAATTATGTAACTGCAAATGGGACAGTTTGACTTCTTCCTTCCTGATTTGGATGTTGAGGGAACACTTTCAGTTCTTTTTTTTTTTTTTTTTTTTTTTTTTAAGATTTTATTTATTTATTTGACAGAGAGAGAGCACAAGTAGGCAGAGCGGCAGGGGGAGGGAGAAGCAGCCTCCCCGCCGAGCAGAGAGCTCGATGCGGGGCTCAATCCCAGGACCCTGTGATCATGACCTGAGCCGAAGGCAAATGCTTAACCAACTGAGCCACCCAGGCGCCCCTCAGTTCTTGTCAATTGAGTATCATGTTAGCTGTGGGTTTGTCGTACATGGCCTTTATTATGTTGGGGTATGTTACTTCTATACTCAGTCTGCCAAAAGTTTTCATCATGAAAGGATGTTGCATTCTGTCAAATGTATAGATGATCATGTCATTACATTAATGTCATGTATCACATGTATTGATTTGTGTATGTTGAACCATCCTTGCATCCCAGGGAAAAATCCATTTAGCCCCAGTGTGTAATCTTTTTTATGTGTTCTTGAATTCAGTTTGCTAATATTTTGTTGAGAATTTTTATATCTGTGTTTATCAGGGATATTGGTCTATAGTTCGTTTTTTGTGTTTTGTTTGTTTTTTTAGAGAGGGAAAGCGTGCATGTGAGCAGGGGCTGGGGAAAGGTGAGGGAGAGGGAGAGAATCTTAGGCAGGCTCTATGCCCAGCGTCTGTGCGGGGCTCGATCTCACAGCCCTGAGATCATGACCTGAGCCGAAATCAAGAGTTGAATGCTTAACTGACTGAGCCACCCAGACACCTCCTTTTTGTTGTGTTATCTTGCTTTGGTGCCAGGATAATGCTGGCCTGTTAAGCACAGTTTGGAAGTATTCCCTACACCTCAAGTAAACCTCAAGTTTTTGGAAGAGTTTGAGAAAGATTGGTATTTGAGTGTTTATTAGAATTTGCCAATGAAGCCATCTGGTCCTAGATTATTTTTTGTACTGGGAGGTTTTAAATTATTGATTCAATCTCTTGCTCATTATGGGTCTATCACATTTTCTCTTTGCATTTGATTCGGTCTTGGTGGGTTGTTTCTAGAAATTTCTCCATTTCTTCTAGGTTATCTAATTTGGGGCGTAGAGTTCATAATAGTCTCTTACAATCCTGTGTATTTTTGTAGTACCAGTTGTATGGTCTTTCTCATTTCTAATTTTAGGTCTTTTTCTAAGTCTGGCTAATAAAGTTTTGTCAGTTTTATCTTTTTGATGAACCAGCTTTTAGTTTTACAGATAGTTTTTTTCTGAAAGAGATTTTTTTTCTGCTTTGGTTTTATTTCCTTCCTTCTCCTACCTCTACACTTGTTCTTTTTATACTTCTTAGAGGTACAGTTAGGTTGCTTGAGATCTTTGTAATTTCTTAATAGATGCATTTAATACTGTTAACTTGCCTCTTGACTGCTTTGCTCTATACCATATTTGATGTGTTTCGATATAATTTATTCCCATTTTTATTTTTTGACTCATTGTTTAGAAGTGTGTTATTTAGTTTCCATGTACTGGTAGATTATCCTAGCTTCCTCTTGCTGATTTCTAATTTAAACCATTGTGGTCAGAAAAGATAGTTGGAATGATTTCAATCTTAAGTTTGCTGAGATTTGTTTTGTGCCCGGTCATAGGATCTGCCCTGGAAAACATTCATATGTGCATGAGAAAAATGTGTACTATACTGCTCTTGGATGAAATGTTCTATATATGACCTTTAAGTCATTTTGTTTTAGAATATGTTTTGGTTCAGTTCCAATATTTCCTTTTTGCTTTTCTGTCTGCATGATTTATGTTCTAATAGTATTAAAGTCCCCTATTAATGTATTGTTTATTTCTCCATTTAAATCTGTTAGAATTCTTTTAATCATGGTGCTCTGATGTTGGAGGTATATATATTTATGATCATTCTCTCTTCTTGATGTCTTTGTTTTTTTATCATTATATAATGACTTCTTTATCACTTGTTAATGTTTTTGGCTTGAAGTGTATTTTTTCTGGCATAAGTATGGCTACACCCACTTTTTTTGGTATCCACCTGCATGGAATATCCTCTTCTGTACCTATGCTTTGAGCCTGTGTATGTCTTCAGAGCTAAAATGAATTTCCTTTAGACAGAGTGGAGTGAAGTTTTTTTTTTTTTTTTTTTCATCCAGTCACTCTACCCTTTGGTGAATTCAGTCCATTCATAATTACTTACTACTACCATCTTATTGTTGTTTGCCTTCTAGTTTTTATCTTCTGTGTTTCCTTTCCCTGTTTCTACTTTTGTAAAGTGGATTTCCATGGTGATTTGTGCAGTCTCCCCATTTTTTATGTTTCATTACTATATTTTTGCTTTGTGGTTACGAAGTGGCTTACATAAAACATCTCATAGGTAAAGTACTCCTAGGGGAAGGTGTTTTTAAGAAATAGTTCAAGCACATTCTGTAACATCCTTGATTACACTGTTATGCCACAAAATCACTTGTTCTGTTCTGATGATCATCTGTTGATTAAAGATGATGAAAACAAAATAACTTGTGAAACAATAACTTGCAAAGGTTACTGTAGTTGACCCTTGAACAATGTGAGGGTTAGGGGTGCCAACCCATCATGCAGTCAAAAATCTGCATATAACTTCACTCCCTAAAAATTTAACAGCCTTACTGATAACAGTTTGACCCATTTTTGTATATTATATGCTGTATTCTTACAATAAAACTAGAGAAAATGTTAAAATCAAGAAGAGAAAATGCATATTTATGAGAAAAAAAGCCACGTATAAGTGGATGTGTGCTGTTCAGACCCATGTTGTTCCAGGGTCAATTATATTTTTAACTGTGTAAGAAACTAACAAATTCTTTTTCAAAGTGTTTGTACTGTTTTACATTTCTACCAGCAATGTCTGAGAGTTCCAGGTTCCTTGCCATATTTTATTTAAGGGAATTTTCAGATACTTTGTGTTTCTGCCCCATGACTGGAGGTTTTTTGTTTTGTTTTAACACTTCGGTGATTAAGTTAAGAATTTTTAAAGAGCCAAAACACCTCTTTACAGATGGACAGGATGGAAGTCTAAAATCAAAATATGACATGAAAAGCAAGATTATAGAATACTCTGGCATCATAAGTTATCAAAATACAAGGAAGAATTTTATCCTCAGACTTTCAGTAACACTTTAAATGGTTAGCCACTTGGCTGAGACCTTACTATAATACTTCTGTCAGAGTCCCTGCTGCTGCTTGAATTGTAAAGGCTGCAATAGAAATGTGTTTCTTTACTTCTCTCCAGGCTGAACGAGGGTCTTCTTTATTTTCAATATCAAACATAGCATCGTAGATCCCAGGAAATGATTCTCCAGCATATTTGTTGTGGCTACTTGGAGCGAAGATGATGTGCCTAACAGAAGAAAACAGATGGCAGGTTGAGCTAAAGAGTATACATAACATTACATTTTATACGCTTCTCGAATTCATTCCCTTTTGTTAGACCCCATCTTAAGAATACTGTCTCCTCCTGGCATTCACTTTTTTTAATTCCAAAATGAAGACCTATAATTGGTTTAAGATACTTAATGTAACAGTATAATTTTAAGCAAAGAAATCTGACTACGCATTCACTAAGACTTAGTCTCATAAATCCTGTTGCCAAACCCATACAAATGGAAGAAAGTGTGTTCTTGTAAGCTGTGTACATCAGTTGTCTGATTGCCAGCAGATACCCAAACAGTGGTAACAAGTATGCTTTATGGATATATTTACTGAGAGAAGTGTGTTGCCTTTTTTAGAGATTCAATAAGAATAACACTTGTTCCCAATACTCTTTAAAAAATCAATAAATAAGGTTGTATTCCCAAAATATAGATGAGGATAATGAAGTTCATTCCACAAAGATAAAGCTGTTATATATGAATTGCCTGCCGTCACATTTAATTTCTGATCTAGAAGAAAAGTTTTGCATTTGATTCCCTATTTTATAAGTACCTGGAGAAATCAAACTACTTCTCTCTCCAAAAATTGGAATTCTGCCTTCCAGAAAGGGACGTATTTTATTCAACACTATTATCAGGAATTAAGCCCAAGAGTCAAATCCTGCAGTTTCTTCAGGATGTAAATCTGTCTCTGAGACAATGTGAAACTATGTAAGTATTAATGATTAAGTAGAAATGTATAATGCAAATCATTTAAATTATCCAAAGTACATCAGGATTTATTATTTTTTTAGGTTTTTTTATTTGACAGAGCAAGAGAGCAAAGCAGGGGGAAGGACAGAGGGAGAGGGAGAAGGAGAAGCAGGCTCCCTGCTGAGGGCTCCTGTCCCTGACATGGGCTCTCCCAGGACCCCTGGATCATGGCCTGAAAGGAAGGCAGATGCTTAGCCAACTGAGCCACCCAGGTGCCCCAGTACATTAGGATTTATTGCTCTTGGCTTTTAAATTTTAATATGGCCTTAAATGAATCTTCCTCATTAAAGCCAGTATATGTGCTGAACTGTTTATAAACACTGATATTCTGACCTATACATGAGTTATTACAAATAAAGTTTGTAGCTATTCATTAGTATACTTGTCCTTTACTGGAGAATTGTAAAAGCAGAGTATAGTAAAAATATAGATAGATACAAGGATTATACAAACCTGGTTTGAATCCATGAACTGGCATCTAATAGTCCTGTGGTCTTTCACCTTGGTTAAATTCTTAGGTATTTTATTCTTTTTGATGCAACTGTAAATGGAATTATTTTCTTTATTCTTCTTCTTGATAGGCCATTAGTAGATTTCTGTATATTGATTTTGTGTCTTCACCTTACACTGAATTTGTTCATTCTAACAGTTTTTTGGTGGATTCCTTAGGTTTATCTATATATAATGTCATCTGCAAATAATAATGGTTTTACTTCCTTCCAATATGGATGCCTTTTTCTTGCCTAATTGCTCTGGCTATGACTACCCATACTGTGTTGAAAAGAAACAGCAAGAATAAGCATCCTGGTCTTGTTCCTATCTTAGAGGAAAAGCTTTCAGCCTTTTACCATTAAATATGATATTATCTGTAGGTTTGTCTTATTGGCCCTTTATTATGTTGAGTTACATTTCTTCTACTGACTTTGTTGAGTTTTAATAAAAATGGATGTTGAATTTTGTCAAATGCTTTTTCTGCATCTATTAAAGACTTTTATCCTTCATTTTGTTAATGTGGTATATAACATTGATTTGTGGATATTGAGCCATCTTTGTATCCCTGAAATAAATCCCATTTTGGTACCGTGATCTTTTTAATAAATTGCTGAATTCGGTTTCCTAAGTTTTATAGAGGATTTTTGCTTTTATGTTCATCATATTGGCTGGTAATTTTCTTTTGGCATCCTTGTTTGATTTTCCTAGCAAGGTAATGCTGGCCTTTTAAAATGAGTTTAGAAGTGTTCCCTCTTCTCTTTTTTGGAAGAATTTGAAAAGGATTGATACTGATTATTTTTTCAGTGTTTCATAGAATTCATTGGTGAAGCCATCTGGTCCTGGACTTTTGTTTGTTGGGAGGTTTACGATTACTGATTCAATTTCCTCACTAATAACTGTTCTATTCAAATTTTGTTTCCACGTTCATTTCTTCATGATTCAGTTCTGGAAGGTTATATGTTCCTAGAAGTTTGTCTCTATCTTCTAGGTTGTCCAATTTGTAGGCATATGATTGTTGATACTAGTCTCTTATTTATTTCCATGGTATTAGTTGTAATGTCTCCTCTATTTATTTGAGCCCGTTCTCTTCTTGGTGAATCCAGTGTATGGTTTATAAATTTCATCTTTTCAAACAATCAGCTCATCTTATTGAGCTTTTCTGTTGGCTTTTTAGTTTCTATTTCCTTGATTTCCTCTTTGTAATTGCCTTCCTTCTACTAACTTTGGGCTTTATTTGTCGTTCTACTTCCTTGAGGGGTGATGTTAGGTTGCTTGAGAGTTTTACTTTTTTCTGAGATGTAGGGTATTCATTGCTGGTGACCATCAATCTTAGAACTGCTTTTATGCATCTCATAAATTTTGCCATGTTGTATTTCCATTTTCATTTTTTTCAAGGTATTTTTTTGTCTTTTGATTTCATTGACCTATTAGCTGTTTAGTAGAATGTTAGTTTCCACCTATTTGTGAATATTCCACTTTTCTTGTAATTGATTTCTAGTTTCCTACCACTGTGGTCAAAAGAAAAAAGATGCTGGATGTTTCATTCTTCTTAAATTCATTAAGACTTGTTTTTTTTTGGCATAACATATGACCTCTCCTGGAGAATATTCCACGTGCACTTGCAAGAATGAGTGTTTTGCTATTGGATGGAATTTTCTGTATATATCTTTTCATTTCATATGGTCTAATACGTGATTTTTTTGTTTGGAAGCTAGCCTATTCCTCCTATTGAACTGCTGTTTCTCTGTCGGTCTCTTAATAATTTATATGTTTAGGTGCTTTTATGATGGGTACATAAATACTTACAAATGTTATATCCTCTTGTTTGACCCTGTTATTATTGTGTAATTTCTTTCTTTGTCTCTTACTGCAGTCTTCATTTGAAGTATTTTGTCTGATACTAGCATAGCTATCCCTGCTTTCTTCGGCTTCCATTTGCATTCTATATCTTTTTCCATGCCTTCAGATTTAGTCTGTGTGGGTCTTTACATTTGAAGTGAGTCTCTTCTAGGCATGATATAGATAGGTCTTGTTTTTTTATTCATTCAGCCACTTTGTCTTTTCATTGGAGCATTTATTCCATTTACATTTAAAATAATCCGTATATACGTACATATTGATATTTTGTCAGTTGTTTTCTTGCTGTTTTGTACTTCTCCTGTTCCTTATTTTCTTGCTCTCACCATTTGTGGTTTGTTGGTACAGTATGCTTAAATTTTGTATTTCTTGTATCTAATACAGGCTTACTTCATTGTGCTTGAAAGCTACATTTTTGTTTTTGTTTTTTTAATTGAAGGTTTGTGGCAAACCTGCATCAAGCAGGTCTTTTGACACCATTTTTCCAACTACAATCCAGTTATTCTTGTGTAGTATTTCAAACTATTTTATTGGAATACATTTGGTAATACAGTGTTACTAGTTTCGGGTGTATAGTAGTAATTTGACAGTTACATACATTAAATGCTCGCCGAAGTAAGTGTAGTCACCATCTGTCACCAAAGTTATACTATTATTGACTATATTCGCTGTGGTGTACTTTTCATCCCCATGGCTTATTTATAACTGCAAATCTGTACCACTTAATCCCCTATTTTGCCCATACGCCTGCCACCTTCCTTCCCTTCTATCAACCACCAATTTTTTTCTTGGTTCATTTGTTTTGAAGTGAAATAGTATGGTATTTGTCTTTCTCTGACTTATTTCACTTAGCATAATACCCTCTAGTTGGGTGCATCCGTGTTGCAGATGGCAAGATTTCATCCTTTTTTAGGTTAATATTCCATTGTATATATACCACATCTTTATTTCATCTGTCAATGGACACTTGGTTTGCATCCCTATGTTGGCTGTTATAAATAACACCGGTAAAATAAGGACACATATATTTGTACTTAGGTAAGTATATATACATTTAATGTTTTCAGGGTTTTTTGGGTAAATAGCCAGTAATGGAATTACTGGATCATGTAGTATTTCAATTTTTAAATTTTTTTTTTTTAAGATTTTATTTATTTGAGAGAGAGAGAAAGAACACATGAGAGGGGATAGGGTCAGAGCGCGAAGCAGACTACCTGCCAAGCAGGGAGCCTGATGCGGAACTCGATCCAGGGACTCCAGGATCATGACCTGAGCCAAAGGCAGTTGCTTAACCAACTGAGCCACCCAGGCGCCCCTTTAATTTTTTTTTTTTTAAAGATTTTAGTCATTTATTTGACAGACAGCGAGAGAGGGAACACAAGCAGGGGGAGTGGGAGAGGGAGAAGCAGGCTTCCCGCGGAGCGGGGAGCCCTATGCGGGGCTCGATCCTAGGACCCTGGGATCATGACCTGAGCCAAAGGCAGACGCCCAACGACTGAGCCACCCAGGCGCCCCAATTTAAATTTTTTGAGGAACCTCCATAATGTTTTCTCTAGTGGCTGCACCAATTTGCATTCCCACCAACATGGACGAGGGTACCTTTTTTCCACATCGTCCCACATTGTTGCCAGCACTTGTCTTTTTGATGCCAACTGTTCTGACAGTTGTGAGGTGATACCTCAGTTTTGATTTGCATTTCCCTAATGATTAGTGATGGGGACCACATTTTTCATGTTTCTTGGCCATGTGTACTCTTTGGAAAGATACATATTCGGGTTCTCTGCCCATTAATCGATTATTGGGAGCTTTTTGTTGAGTTGTATCAATTATGTATTTCAGATATGAACCCCTCATTGGATAGATCATT